GGGATTCTTGTTCAGCTCCCATAGAAAAAGTTCATTTGCCACAGTTTATTCGTTTCTTATTTGCCTTGCAAGCCCATTCAATATTACTAAGTTTTTCAGTAACTATGCAAGTCATGCAAAATGCATGTTGCTTTTGGAAAGGAACAGCAATGAATGCCCCAGGAAAGAATGAATGAAGAATTATGACTTATTTACATTGACTATATTTTGCACACATATCTTAAATATGAGCACATTTTGTGATGATTTTTGAACAATGAGTGTTTGCAAACAGCAGCTCCTTTTGCCTGACTTCAAGCAGTGCAAGAGCAATGTAACTTCTATGTAGATTCTTCCTCTTTTTGTGGTGAAAGCTGGAAAAGCAGTTTCAGGCAGTTCTTTTGTTCCTTTCTTCAAGTTTCAGTCACCTGAATGCTTATGGAAAGTAAAGGTAGACTTGGGATTAAGAGACCAGGGTTTCATATACAGTCCTTGGCACTTGTTTCTGTGCGACGGCTCCCTTGCTTTGTGCAAGTTTATCCAGCTTCCAAATAGGAGCTTTAACAGGGGTATCATCCTCAGTCTGTCCTGCCTCTGAATTATCTGTTGCCTGTGTGCACATCACATCGCACCCAGAAGACACTGTGCTCCAGTACAAATACTATCAGTATTCATGATCATGTAATATAGAAGCTGAATATATCTCAGCAGCTAGCCCTCAGAAAACAGGCATTTTTCATACAGAATTTCATTGATGTGTTGTTTTCTTTTCACCCAAAGCAAGCTTCTGTGATGGGAAATTTGACTCTAAAAAAAGGCACAAATTAAACTAGCTAGAAAGCTATAGGTTTTATTCCAAGATATCTTTAATAAAATAAAGACCCTTTTATTTTGACATTTATGTGTAACTCACTATTTGTCACTCCTTATCACTGGAGATAATATAGAAAAACAGAAGGAGCAAATGGTGTTTGTCCCAGTACCTGTTCACGACTCCAAGTACCCGACATACATAACCACACAAGGGCAGTTTGACTTGGATCTTATTTTATGGCAATTTTACATTTAGCAGAATAACCTATTATGGAAAAGCTCTGAGTAGGCCAGTGATTGGAGTTGCAAGCAAGACGATAGGTTGTGGGTGACTAATACGTGGCCCCTAGCTCACTGCAGGTATTCATGGCAGGTACCTCTTTTGACCTAGCTTGCCCCAACAAGAAGAATGGTGGGAAACAAGCTGAGGATGCTGTACAACTAAGCTGTCTGTTCCTGACTGTCTGCTAGTGTCTGGTTGAATCTGCCCTGACAAGGAAAGGGAAATCTGAAAATCTGAACTTGTCTTTGTTTTCTGCGATGCACCTCTTATTCCTTATGCTTGAAAGGCAGTAGAAACCCTAATTGTTCCAGGAGGAAGGATGGACTAGAAATAAACAGAACCAATATTGACTTTTGAAATTTTACACCTGTGAAACCAAAGAAGAAGAAGAAGAAGAAAAAAAGAGTTTCACATGCAATTAAGATTGAGACTGAAAATAAATTAGGCAATTGGGTTTAATAGATTTCCAGTCTTCTTAACTGGGAAGGTTAAGAAGACTTGTTACCTAACAAGCACCTTTGATTTTAAGGTTCTTAAGTATAGTGTATTTGGCAAAACAATAAATGCAATTGTCCTACCCAAAAAGCAAACAAAATACAAAGATAAGATAATCTGGTTTTCCACTCTTAATGTTTGAGTTCTACACACGCAAGCAGACAGAAAATTAGAAAAAAGTAAACATGAAGAAACTTGGAAAAAGCTCTATGTTGTCCAGAGTCTCATTTAAATAATAGTCTCCAGCCAGAAAATAAGACATTTTTAAGCTTTTTTTCCCCTGTAACTTTGTCAATAGCATTTTGATGATATCACCTATCCTCTTTAAAACTGGTATTTGACTACCTCACTCATTAATATTATGTATTAAGCTAACTTTTTCAGACTGAAAATGATCACAGTTCCTGCTTCTTTACCAGCCTCTTCAGCCTGAAATGTTGATTACAGAATTGTTAAAATTCCCGGTGGACACCATTTTTCGCTGTGGAAGGACCACTGTCCTCATTCAGTGCTTGGTTAAGTGGTGTTTCTGAAAAGAGAGAGGTGGCAGCTTGCCCCAAACAGGCGCTCCTTGTTCTAGCGCCTGTCATGTCCTCGTTGCCCCAGCTGCCCCCTGTGCTGCTGCTTTGATCGGAAACTCTTGGGGAAAAAGATGCTCCTTTTGCTACAAGTTCATACTCGCCTATGGTATTAGATGAAGAGAAATAGCCACAGCAAGAAGAACAACAGGATCTCACCGTTAATCATCCCACATAATAAATGCAGTTGGTTGCTCAAAATGTATTACTTACCTTGATAACCCACTCCCTTTTTGCACAATATTCTAATTGCTGTTGTTTTTCATAATAAAATATTTTACATTCTTATTTATCTTATTGATTAGCAAGTTCTGCTCAAGTGTATCTTTGATAACTTTGATTTTCTTTATATTATTGAAGGTACAAGCGATTCATTATTATGATTCTTTCCTGAAACTCACCTGCCCTGAAATCTCCTCCTGCCCCAAGAAAACAGTCTTAATTTACTGCATTAATTCCCCAAATCCCCATCTCCTCTCCGGATTTTTCATAAAAATTTTTCATCTTCTGGGCCTGAGCCTCCTGTGCCAGTTCATTTTACATCAGCGTATAAACCAGATTAGCTAGTCTAATGCAAATTCCTGAGTAAATAGCACTGTAACAGTGTAAACCAGGAGGCAGTGGATTAATTTACCTTTGTAATTCTGGAAGCGCATGAACTTATGAATGTACCCAAACATGAGGACTTAAAGGGGGTTTAAACTTACACCCTAAAACCGGTTCAAATTTTTGAAAGGCCTCACAGTCCATAACAAAGTTTGTTATCTGTGATGAAGCATTGCTGTAGTTATTGTTATTCTAGCTATAACCAGTACATTTCTTTAAGGATTTTTTTTTCTACGATCAGTCCCATATAAACAAACAGATAAAAAAAGAAAACAGTACAACTTGATAGTTATTGGCATATCTTTTATATGGGCATCTGCAGCACTGCTTCTTGGCTAATGGCCAGCAGACCCATTAATAGCACTAACTAATGGCACAGAATAAAAATTTCCTCCAGTCCTATTTTCTAATTGGTAGGAAAGCAAACTAAAAATACATTTTACAAGTTTGGGGTCAGAGTACAAACCTAGGAGAGCTCCATTAACTTTTAGCTGTTCTACAGTTTTGAACTATTTGAAGATGTAGCTCATTGATTTCTTGGGAAAAAAAAAAAGATTGTAAATGAACCAGAAGTGGGAGATTTTACTACAGCTAGGCATAGGTTTCAGTTGGATTTTAGAAAGACTTAATCATTTTCTCCAATCCTAACATAAAAGGTCATCTGAAATTGAATGATTTACTTCCTACTCATGACAGATAATCACATACAACATGTTTAATATTTTAATAAAGAGTTTGAGAGCTGTTTTTAAGCATGCCTTTTAAAAATACTCTAACCAAATTGCATAGATCCTTCTTTTTCATGGTGTATCCTTTAGGTCCCTTTGCATATTATGCCAGATATTAACCTTCCTCTTCTTCCCACTTTGTACCTGTCCAGCTTCCCCAGACAGCTCCTTCATTAAATCTTCTTAAAGAGAAAATGCTGCATTTGCAGCTCACAGTAGTAATTCCTCAGTTTAATCTCCTTCATATTCTCTGCCCTGAGCCTACCTTTGAAGACGAGACATGAGCCCTTCTTCACTCTCCACTCAGGCTACCAGTTTCTGTTCAGCACTATCCCCAAGGCTTTTCTCCACTTCACATTCTCCACTTCCTACCAGTCATCTTAGAGATCCCATTCTCACTTGACTCTGTAACCCAGAAGGCAGGTCCATTGTCCTCCTCTATGTACCCACATCTGCTGTGTGGCACAAGGACTATGTCAGGCAAAAGCTGATTTTGCCGTCAGTTACATTTCTTGTGGTTACTGAATAGCTCACAGCGCAATTTAAAGCCTGATCTTGTGTGATCATCCTTTTTCATTCTCAAAATAATGCCTTTCCTGAGGTTTGATGATACCTCAATATAGCTTGCTGTAAAGACGTAGACCTGACACAAGGTTTTTATTTAAAAGCTATGATTTGGGGTATTTCATTTTGTTTGGTTGGTTTGGATTTTTTTCCCACCAATTCTCATGTTATGCTGAATCTGTTGAATGTTACTTGTTGATTTTCAGGTATAGAAAGATAGGTTTAGTCACAGCTGGTACAAAAGCCAGAACCTACCTGCTGCATTTATAGTCTGCCATTGCATTTCATGAAAGGAAATTGAATACTTTTACTTGGCACAATAAAGAAAAGCAAACAGCATTTAAACATTTAGAAAGCTTTGTATAATTTCAGTACAGATGATTCATCATGACTCACTGAACATTACAAACTACGAACACAAGAAAAAAAGGAAAAAAAGGACTTTTATTTGTTTTTCCCCAGTGATGTCTCCCAAATTTGCTGGTTTGAAAGCTACCTGTCCTGAAACAGAAATACATTGTAGGAAATGTGATAGTCATAACTTACATATAAATGCTTTTCTGGATCAGGACATACCAGTGCTTAACAGTAATAGTCAAAGGTGAAAGCATGGAGACAGCATTGCTGTGTCTAATTCTCCCTGATTGCTGAGTAAAACCTTGGAGGAGGGCAACTAAGCAAGTTCTGAGTAGAGGAGAGAGAAAAAAGTGAATAAAGCAAGACTGAACTTGGTGTCTTTCTTAGCTGCAGATGTGAGTTTAGTGCCCCTGTTTGGGTACAAATCATTCCCTGTTGGATACAATCAACTCACTCACATTTTTAAAGTCCAGCTGATAATGGCAATACCGCTTCCATCTAGGAGAACAGAGCTCAAGCAGACAAACTAGATGTTTGGAATTTTAGGCTTGACTCAATGACTCAAGTTCACAGCTTCATTCTTCCTAAGTGCCTTACCACTGCGCACAGCCACCATGGAGGCTGAAGCCTAGACTCACACAACCAGTTGGAAGGGACCTTGCTAGCAACATGTAAGCAGACATTAAAAAAAAAAAAAGCCTAAATCAAAACACAGGGCTCTTCCTTCTTCTAGGTGCCCTTTTCCTTTAGTCCCATTCTCATGCTTCCCAGCTCCTGTATTGGTCCAGCTCCAGTGTGAAGAGCGGCCTTGTGATTTGAGCACCTTTGAGCAAGGTGGGAGAGAAGGTGGAGGTCAGACTCTTCTTTGCAGTCAAAGTCCCCTGCTTGATGGACTAGTGCTGTTAACCACAGAACTACTGTGCACATTCTTGTGGGTCCATGTTCACAGGTAAAAATGCTGAGTTTTGTGTTAGGGTTCTTACAACACTGCTGCCTGAAGAGGCTTCCCTGGAGTTGTATGTACCAGGATGTCTCCTTTATTCTTCCTAAACAGGAGCAGGTGGGTGATAGGTGTCTACGTGTTAAAATTGGTTGAAGTAGCAGGAGCTGTGGTCCATCACAGCAAACAACTCTAGGCTCTTTGTGGATCCAAAAGCTCAGATGCCAATGGATTGTCATCAGAAATGTACACTAAACAATTCTTTTAAGTACCCTTTTAGGCACCGTCAGTGGTAGTTAAGTGCCCTAAAAATGCTTTAAAAAAAGTCTCCCAGAATGACTACTTTGAGGTCAATTGTTCATAGCAAGTTGAAGTCAGTAGTTTGGGCACTCCTATGTCCAAACTTAAGCATGTCCTTAAGTATTTCTTTCTTCTGGATTAAGGCTGCGGTACAGAATATGGAGGAAATCAATACCAGCTTTCACCAACATCACTACATGTGCCCAACTATTGTCATTTAAATCCCCATACAAAACTCTACAAATATCATATTGCCATCTCTCAGTGTCTTTTTTGGAAGGCAGGTTTAATATAAGCATTAGAATTTGAGTCTCCTCAGAGGCAGAATGTACCTTGATACAGTGCCTGAAAGTGATATGAGAACGAGTGCACTGGCCCCAAAAGAAAAATTATGGTTTGATTCATATAAGAGCTTTGTTATTTTCTCTGGAGCAGTGCCTAGAGATCCAAACATTTCTCCTCTCCGCTCCTCATATGTCTAATGGCCTGGCTGGTGCCATTATTTCTGTCTCTTCTTCTGACTCATACTCTTTCACTTCCCCCAAAGTGAATCGAGGTTTTGGCTTTAGGGTGTCTACCCTGGTGATTGATTTTCCTCGTCGACCTGACAGAGTGGAGGAACCAGCATGTCTCTCTAAGTGTGCCATTGGAATAAGCTCTTCCTGGCGGTACTTTACTTCAAAGGGTCGTAGTCGGGGCTGGGGTTTGAATGTTAGCGGGAGCGTACAGTCAGAGTCACTGCTACGATTATCTGAAGGAAAAACAAAAACAAATTATTCATGTCAGCAAGAAGAGAAAGAGAAACACTGTGGTATTAGCAATGACAAACTAAAGGGTATTCAATAAAATACAGCATTACTGTTTTAAGTGCCGGATCTGAAGCATTTTAGGTACTATAGAAGATAGCTCTCAAGAAAAGCTAAAAATAATCCAAAATTTTCATTTTCTTTCCAAAGTTGATGTATACATGATTTTATTGATCTTGCCTCTACTCTGAAATACCAGTGAGTGAGCACTTTTAACTATCTGATAGCACCTTGAAGAGCTGCTGCTGTCGTCGCAAAGTGGTCTCCTTTATGCAGCATTCATTTTTTTCCAAGTTTCACAGGCTTAGCTAACAGGCAGTTCAAAGGCATTATAAAAGCAACAGCAGTAGGCAAAAAGTAAACATGGATTCTGATGTCACTAAAAATCAGGTTTACCAGTCACCTACAATTAACAAGAGGGAAAAAAAAGGCAAAAGCAAAAAAAAAAAGAAGTCCCATCTGAAACCAGAAGTTTCAGCACTCTGTAGTGCTTTGATTACATTGGGTGTGGCTGACCTGCTCCTGCTGGCTTTCCAGACTCCAAGTATACCATTTATAGCTGGCTCTTTTATTCCATTTGGCTTACAGAATACACCTTTTTTATTTACTTTGCTTAATCACAGCCTACTACTAAATTAGTTATTGAATACAAAAAAAAAAAAAAAAGAAACACAGCTCACAATAAGCTCGGAACAGTTAGGAGTTAAAATCAAAGGCCTATGAATAATAAAATTAGTTAAAACATACATATATCAGGTACAAACACACATAAAAGGTCTATCAGGGCTTAGTCTCAGTAAAGTTATTTAAACTAATGTTTACTTCACAGCTGGCGGAGTAGAAGTATGTGCACCAACACTTACCTCAGCTGAGCAGGGCACTGATTTCATTAGCAGCTGAGCCCCATGTCTGCTAGACTGTGTGGGCAAACTGCAGTTGCCAGGAGAGCTATTTTCAGATTTGAAAGGGAAAAGTCTATGCTAGGGATTGTGTTCTGAGCACTTTGGGGACATCACTGCTTCAGAGCATGGTACATACCAGTAATGAACTCATTCTTTGCTATGAATGGCAAGAAGAGCTGCTACGCAGTTTAAGCTACTTTTGACCTCTTAGCTACTGAACTTTTTGCATATGACTATTTTTTTGCATAGCCAAATCAAGCTTGCCCAGAGGGTGCTAGTTTTAGGAGGGCTTTCAGGCATAGGCAGAAGTGTCACTTAGCTCTACAGATGAGTATAAAAGAGGTTGTCCTTCTAACTCCTACAAATTGAGTATTTCTCTTTTCTGTTCCCAAGTACTAGTCATCTCATTCAGGCATAGATTATGAGAGGAGCTTAGGTGTCTTCCTCTGACTGTAGACATCTAAATGGTGTGAATGCTACCCAAGGGACCTAACTTGATGCCAGAAGCAGAGCCAAGAAGTCTAATTATTTGTATAGAGCACAACACAGGACTTCGATTCAGTACCAGCTATTAGTGTAAATGTACCCACTTTGACTGCTTCAGGGTTTACTTCTCTCCCCACTGAAACAAGAGAGCTATTTCTGAGGGGCAGGTCTTGGTCCCTGAAAGTGTCTTAAATGGTTTTGAGCCCAGGACTGCTAGTAGAACAATTTGAATCTTTTAGAAAGACACATATCCCTCCATGACACCCTGTCAAACAGCACAGAAAAGTGTCATCTCATCAGAAAAAAAAAAAAAGAAAAGAAAAACTTTAATAACTTTGACTTTCCTTTCTGAATGGATCCTATAGGTTTCTATTTCGCTTGTAGCATATGTGCATGTGTCAAACAAGCCCCAGGTGACAGTTTGTCTGCACAGATCACTTTTGCTTTCATCTCTTTCAAAAACAAAACAGAAAGGCAAGAAAGAAAATAATTTTGCACCTGCAAGAAAACAACTTGGTTGTCCAAATTTTGATACAAAGGAAATGATTAAAAATATTGTTGCACTTCATCAAAAATGTGCTAATTCACCAGAAATTAAAAAGTAATTTTCAAAGCATCCCAAATGGATTTCAGAATCACATAAATAAAGACAGAAAAGAGTAGGGAGACTTCAGATGGAGACAAAGATGCATACTCAATTGCCTTAAATTGTACATTTTCTCTGACTCTGTCCTGTATTTACCAAAGGCAATTCAGTGTTACTCCACTTTTCCTTCCATCCCTAAACTCCATTTCCTTATTTAGACTGTAAATGACGATAAGACTGTATTTTATTGTGTACCTGTGATAGCTTGTGCAGTGCTGACACTGGCAATTGATAGGTTGTCCCAGTAATATCAATACGATTACAGAAATACTTACAGATAGCAAGCTAGAAAAAGAGGAGAAGAGAACAGATATTTAGGGACAGATGGTACTATATTTTTATCTTAAGCTATTTGGTTAAAGGCTTGTGTCAATGAATACAAAGAAGCCCATAGGCACCAGGGCAGACAGAGGACCCCGAATACTCTGATCAAAGGAGTCTCCTGCTCTAGCCCATGCTGGGGTGCTAAAGGGGACTGACCAGGGTGAGATCCACCGTGATGCTTCAGGTAGAAAGGAT